ATAGCCATCTTCGAACCTGTAAGAAGTGTCACCCGATGTGATGAAGTGCCATCAGCTGTTACACAAATGGCATCCAAAGAAATACTAAAACATCTAGAGCAGCCATGGGATCACCTAACATCTGAGGAGAAACAGAAGGCTAAGCAGTTCTTGCTAAAGCATGGCAGTATTTTGAGAAGAACAACAGTGGAAGAACAGATTTTGTGAAGCACCGGGTTAATACTGGTCATGCTCAGCCGATTCGACAACGTCTTAGAAGGGTGCCCCTTTCAAAACAACAAGAAATTGAGACAATGGTAGATAAGTTGCTAGAAGATGGAGTTATCGAAGAATCATCAAGTCCATGGTCATCTCCTGTTGCTTTGGTGACGAAGAAAGATGGTAGTACACGATTCTGCGTGGACTATTGGAAGCTCAATGACGTCACTAAGAAGGACAGCTACCCACTGCCATGTATAGACGACACGTTAACTACACTGGCAGGTTCGTGCTGGTTCTCCACTCTCGACTTAAAGAGTGGATACTGGCAAGTTGGCCTGGACTAGGAAGACAAAGAAAAGACGGCTTTTTCTACAGGAAAGGGACTATACCAATTCAAGGTCATGCCGTTTGGGTTATGCAATGCTCCAGCCACTTTCGAACGTCTCATGGAGGTGGTGTTAAGAGGATTAACTTGAAAAACGTGCTCGGTTTACCTCGACGATGTATTGGTTATGGGAAGAACTTTTGAGGAGCATTTGCGAAATTTAGAAGAAGTCTTCGGCCGCATAGGGAATGCTCACCTGTACTTGAACCCGAAGAAGTGTAGCTTATTCCAGCGACAAGTGGAATTCTTGGGTCATGTAGTCTCGGCAGACGGAATTTATACCGATCAGAAGAAAATCGCTGCAATCAAGGATTGGCCTAAACCTAGCGACAAGCATGAACTGAGAAGTTTTCCGGGTTTATGCACATATTACAGAAGATTTGTCAAAGGATTTGCCAATAAACAGTACGTAGCGGGGAGTGTCATTTTCTATCGAATAAAGTAAAAAAATACCGAGGGTGCCATTTAAAAATCAAAAGTTGTAGTCATTTCCGGTGAAACTGGAAGTGACCGAAAACAATTGAATATGTCAATCAATCCAGATTTATGTCATATATTAACATACCTGTCGATGTTTTATCTGAAAAAATTAAAAAGTTATAGGGTTGAGCCACTTTTGAGACGCAACCGGTATACAGGCCGAGTGCCTATGGTGCGACTATTTTGAAACAAAAGGTGCAAACTAGTTTACTCTACAATCAGTTTCCAACTAAAGTGAAACTGGTGCACGCACATGGATGCAACTCATTCTAGATCAGTTTCAATCAGATAGTGTAGCAGCTCAATAAAAAAAATACAATGTCAAAATCCGAATATTGAATATCAGATGACCTCATTAATTATCATAAATACCGCAAACAATGCAGGACTCATAGAGAGTATTGGGTCCATCCATACATATGCTTTCTCTATCGTGTCTTTCTTGGAGTGCCCCAAAAAGGTTATAATTATAGAGTTCTTCGTATTTCTCAACCACTCCGACAAATTTTGTGCTCAACTGTCCTGAAATCCAAACTATATTAGATAGGTACCTATTTACTTTAGATGGCCTGTATATATATATAGGTACTTACTTTGCTATAAATATGGTAATCGTAAATCATACAGAATGTTCAAAATTCTGCCAAACTTTCTAAAATATAAAATAATTTTTCTTCGTTTTTTTTAACACCCTGTATATTATTTTTTCAATCTATGTATGATTAAAAAAAAAGTTTGAAAACATTTTTTGTATATAAAGTATTTTGACAAAAATTTTAACAGTTTTGCAGATATTCGCGGTTTTATATTTCATACGGCATTTTCCACAGTAAATTTTTATCAAAGACACCCAATGATTTTTCTCTTGTATTTTACCGTTGAAAGAGCCATATGAAATATTACTGCATATATCTGCGAAACCATTAAACATTCTGAAATACAAAAAATGTTCATTTTTTAAGTCTCCATCTAATAAAAAAATAATATACAGAATGTTCCATCTAAAAAATCGAAGGAAAATTATTTTATATTTTAGAAAGTTTGGCATAGAATTTTGAACATCCATTTACGATTACCATATTTATAGCAAATTAAGTACAGACCATCCAAAGTAAATATCTAATATACTTTTGATTTCAGGACAGTTCTTGTATTTTTAATATTTTTTTAAGGAAGGCTGAAAAATATAATTTTTATATTTATTTATTGATATCTCTGAAACTATCGAAATATATTTACTCATATCTTAGGATTATGTAAAGTGATCTGAAAGAAAACCAAAAATATAATAATATACAGAGTGTTCAATCTAAAAAATATCATCCCGATCCACTCACTATTTTATGAGCCACCCTATAGAAGTTAAAATATTTTCCTGAAATACATCCTAGTACATACTTTAAACAAAATTCCCAAGTTTTTTATTCCAGGAGCTACAGATGCCCGACGTACCCTATACATCATCTGTATGTCTCAAAATCGCTAGAAAACGAGCATACACAACACAAAGTGGGCTTTTAGTTGATGTTTTTTTCTCGAAAACTGTTCGATGTACAAGAAGAACTCAAGAGATCAATTTTGTTTAAAAACTAGTCATTTTAATCAAATAAATAAAACCTAACCAATCCAAAATCAATATCAAATAATCCAGGGGTGCGTGCCACTGGTTCAAACAGAAAAACAATAGTTAATGGAAAAAACTTTTATTCGGTATAATCGAAAAAATACGGTATCATAAGTTGGACTGGAAATGAACATCAATGAATATAATTTGACTTATAAATTTGACCCCATATAATTAATAATTTGACTCAATATAATTTTGACTTATAAAATGGCAGCGATCTTCATTTCATCGTTGACGCCTTTTTTCGATCATATTGTAACTAGACACCACGCACGCCAAATATATGAAAATATCCAAAGGAGTTTCCGACATATTGCAAGAAATTCGAAATTTTTAAATTTGGTCACCCTGTAGATTAGAAAGAAAGTACTTTACGTACATGTTCGTATAAACTTTTTTCTTAAAAACATACACGGAATCATATATACAGAAGACCCTGTCAAATCGATTGTAAGCACTGCTGTAAAACGGAACAACGTGAAGGCACTGTCATGATAAGGAGTTTTAAGCTGAGAGCTGATGAACAGTGGACGACGACACAATTGAGGAAAGATCAAATGGAAGATCCAGACATCGGAGGAATACTACGGCTCAAGGAAGGTAACGGCGAGAGACCACCGTGGCAGGATATTGCGGAGAGAGGGCTCGTTTTTAAAGCTCTCTGGGCTCAGTGGAATTCACTGGTGATTGAGAATGGATTGTTAAAGCGCACGTGGGAAAGTGCGGATGGCAGGACAGTAACAACTCAGTTACTGGTACCAAGGAAGAAAGTTACCCAGGTATTGGAAGAAATTCACGGTGGTAAAACTGGAGCCCACCTTGGGATAAACAAGACCTTGAGCAAGCTGAGAGACCGTTTTTACTGGGTGGATTATTGCGAAGATGTCAAGAAATGGTGTCGACAATGTAAAACTTGTGCAGCCAGCCAAGGACCAAGCACTCGATCTAGGGGAAAAATGAAACAGTATAACGTTGGACTGCCATTCGAAAGAATTGCTGTTGACATTGCAGGCCCATTCCCTGAAACGCACAAGAGCAACAAGTACGTTTTAGTGGCGATGAATTATTTTAGTAAATGGCCAGAAGTTTTTGCCATTCCAAACCAAGAAGCATCGACTGTAGCTGAAGTATTGGTCAATAATGTCTTCAGTAGATTTGGAATTCCCTTAGAGCTTCACACTGACCAAGGAAGGAACTTCGAGTCAAGACTGTTCCAGAAGATGTGTGATCTGCTTGGTGTTCACAAGACTAGGACAACGGCTTTACATCCGCAGTCTGATGGGATGGTCGAAAGATTCAATAAGACCATTGAAGAACACCTCTCGAAAATGGTGGAGGAACATCAAAGAGATTGGGATCAGCACATATCGCTATTCCTAATGGCGTATAGAAGTGCAGTTCACAACACCACCGGACTTTCACCATCGAAGATTTTGTTTGGTCGAGAATTACGGTTGCCTTGTGACTTGGTGATCGGATCACCAGACGACGGCACCACAAACGTAGAGGACTACGCGGATGAACTGAAGGAAAGGTTATTGGAAATACATAAGACCGTTAGAAGTAAGATTGCGCTAGCCAGTGTTCACTAGTGAAATAAAAAAAGTGGGTTTCCACTTAAAAAAAATGGATTTATGATAATTTTTTAATCGCTCAATTCTATGACAGCTGTGGCCATGATTATATGACATTCGAACAATTTAATTTTTGAAATAGATAGCCACATGTTTTCTCTTTATGGCACAGTGGCTGTGGTAATCACTAAATTTGACGTTTAGCCTATACCCATATTTTTGACAGGTAGTTTTTTTCGTTCAAAAATTTTAAATATTTTTTTTCTCAAAAACGGTCAATGTTAGATATAGAGTGTTTAATATCAAAATGCATAAAATTTTACAGAGAATTTAAGTATGTAATAAAAAATGGGGACACCCATTTAAACTAAGAAAGTTGTTGTCATCTTCCGGTATTTCCGGAAGTGCCGCCATATTGAAAATATTTTTGATCGATAGATCTCGTTGTGAAACTATGATGTGCAAGAAATCTCCGAGCTAGATGTTGTAGTTCTCTAGAAACTTCTATTGCACGCTCAGCCTGGGACACCCTGTATACTTACTGTCATTACTCGCTGACGAGTATTTGATTATCCGTTCATAATCCAATGAACGCTTGATCATAAAACTTTTTGATAATCTCTATACTATACCTAATTTTTAAAGATTTTAAATTATTTTTTAGGAATTTATCTAAATTCATATCGCTAACGTAACCTGACAACTAAGGCAAAAACATTCTTATCAACTAAAGTATTTTGCAGCAGTTTCTAATCAGGAGTGGTGCATGTTTGCTTCTGAACTGCTAATTTTCGTGTTAAATCCATAGGTTAAATCAGAAGTTTTACAAAATAATCAGTAAGTTTAGATACTAATTTTATTCAAATTTAGTTCCCATAATAAAAAAAAGGGCTAATATGTTTTAACTATTTAAGTATTTATGTATATAAATAAGTTCGCTATAATATTTTTCATTGACTGTGTAAATATTTGAATGTGTAGATGTAAACATAATAGATATATTATGAAATAAGATTACATGACAGTACCTATATAAAAAATGAAGAGCAAACTAAATTCAACATACGCTGATGTCATAAGCTCAAAAAAATATATTATCAGGCCAGGGATAATCCTTACTTGTTATAAACTTAAGTAATAAGATCAATTTATTTAATATCTCAAAGTATAAAAAGTTTTAATGATCTAAATGATTATTATTTATTTCACTAACTAATGTATCAATATTTACACTGATATTTTCTTTTGATAATGTAAGTGAAAATCTCATAACTTTTTTAAACACTGTTTAGACCAGGGTAAACCACGGAAAAATATACTAGGTGCGTCTCAAAAGTGGCTCACCCCTATAACTTTTTTATTTTTTCAGATAAAACAACGAGATTTGGTATGTTAGTATATGACATAAATTAGGATTGATTGACGTACTCAATTGTTTTCTGTCAATTCCTGTTTCACCGGAAATAACTACAACTTTTGATTTTAAATGGCACCCTCGGTATTTTTTTACTTTATTCGATAGAAAATGACATTCTGAATCGAATGACATATCATATACAAACTTTTGACGTATTCGCTCAAAAACAAATTGCATTTTAAATTTCAATCTAGAGTGCCATGGCTGTGTTAAAAAAAACTAATTTTTAATCAAGGAGCCTTGGAAAAATAGATTTGATCGTCTAATGTTTTTTGTGTCTTGTCCTGGCCGGTTAAAAGATGCCCAAATCGTATTTTTAATCATATCTCAATTTTTTCAAATGGAACGAGGGTGGCTCATTAGCATATTTGGAAAAAGCATTTTTTTACGAATAGGTAATTTGATATCCCGACACATTTAGTATTTCCAGTCAAATTTTCTTTATGAACCGCAGGTTACAATGTCAAATAAACCATATGCAAAAATGTCAAAGTTAACATATGATATGTCATTCTATTCAGAGTGTCATTTTCTATCGAATAAAGTAAAAAATACCGAGGGTGCCATTTAAAAATCAAAAGTTGTAGTCATTTCCGGTGAAACTGGAAGTGACTGAAAACAATTGAATATGTCAATCAATCCAGATTTATGTCATATATTAACATACCAAATGTCGATGTTTTATCTGAAAAAATAAAAAAGTTATAGGGGTTGAGCCACTTTTGAGACGCACCCGGTATACAGGCCGAGTGCCTATGGTGCGACTATTTTGAAACAAAAGGTGCAAACTAGTTTACTCTACAATCAGTTTCCAACTAAAGTGAAACTGCTGCACGCACATGGATGCAACTCATTCTGGATCAGTTTCAATCAGATAGTGTAGCAGCTCAATAAAAAAAATACAATGTCAAAATCCGAATATTGAATATCAGATGACCATCATTAATTATCATAAATACCGCAAACAATGCAGGACTCATAGAGAGTACTGGGTCCATCCATACACATATGCTTTCTCTATCGCATCTTTCTTGGAGTTTCCCAAAAAGTTTATAATTATAGAGTTCTTCGTATTTCTCAACCTCTCCGACAAATTTTGTGCTCAGTTCTTCACTTTCTCAATCACCCGTTTTGAAATATATAAAATAACCCCGTGGAAATTACTTAAATACGGACAACTTTAAAATTGCAACGCAACTGCGGCCGCGGAAAATGGTCGCTAACAACAGATTTGTGACTGATTGCAAACTAGTTCCATTCGAATCGATTCGTGTGCGGCTTCACACTGCTATACGTTACCGAGGATGCAAAATAGTTGCAAGTTCAACCAATTTGCGACTTTTGCCACAAAACAGTCGCACTATGCACTGTGGGCGCTGGCTCTAAAATCAGTAAACCTAACCTAACCGTAGTGATGCGTTTATCCGAATTACAGACATTTTAGGTGACAGCTAGCTATATCAAAAAGAAGGAAATTCGTAGGATACCTAAAGGCGAATTCTCGCGACTAGTGTACTTGGCAAGTACTCCAGTATTTGCGTACTTGGCAAATGTACTATCTTTTGTAAACAACATTTTTTTACAACAAGCTTGGCGCTCACGCACGCGGCGCGAAGAGTAACAAATAAATGCACAAGTAAACCGCTGACACGAAGTACTAATTGCCAAGTACATGCCAATAACAAATGTTTGTACAAGTACACAAGTCGTCAGAGTCCGCCTTTGACTCTGACGACAATTTTAGGGTGTGATCCTCATATGTTTTTAAGACAAAAGTTTATATGAACATGGGGTCTAAATAAATAGGGTAGGTACTTTCTTGCTGATGTACACCGTGTCAAAAATTTAAAAAAATCGAATTTCTTGCTTAAAATAAATAGCACGCCACTGCTTTTTTTCGAAAAACATGTTTTTTTTTTCATTTTTAGTACCATTTAAACAAAATTGATTAAAAATAACTATTTTATTTTGTAGATTTTGTTGCAGTGGCGAAATACCCATATAGGATTTTTTGGAGAAAATTGATCTCGTGTTTTTCTTCTCCAAACCAAACCTCTGTACTCCGTATATTTCTACTTTATACGATAGAAAATGACAATCTCAATAGAATGACATATCATATGTCAACTTTTGACATTTTCGGATAATATGGTTTATTTGAAATTGTAACATACGGTTCATAACGACAATGTGACTCGAAATATCAAGTGTTTGGTACAAAATTATTCGTATTTTTTTTCCAAATATGCAAATGAGCCACTTATTCCATTTGAAAAAATTGGCATATGATTAAAAATACGATTTGGGCATTTTTTAACCCACCAGGACAAGACACGAAAAACATTAGACAATGCAATCTATTTAAGGCTCCTTGTTTAAAAATTAGTGTTTTTAACACAGCCATGGCAGTCTAGATTGAAATTTAAAATACGATTTTTTTGAGCAAAAATGTCAAAAGTTGACATATGATATATCATTCTACTCAGAGTGTCATTTTCTATCGAATAAACCAGAAATATACCTACCGTCGGTCGGTGCTATTTAAAAATCAATAGTTTTTCGTTGAAACAGAAAGTGACCAAAAACAATTGAATACGTCAATCAATTCTAATTTATGTCATATACTAACATACCAAATTTCGTTTTTTATCTAAAAAATTAAAAGAGTTAGGGGTGAGTCACTTTCAAGATGCACCCGGTATAGAAAAAACAACAACCGCGGACTAAGATTGAACGAAGAGAAGAATTTTGAAGTACCTTTAAGTGAAATTTTATTGTTAAAGTAGCATAAATATACTTAGTTGTTATGTTAACATGTTAACTATTGAGGGGAGGGGCAGGTAGGGTATTCGCCCAGTTTCAATATTTCGACTGACGACTCGTGTAAGATGTTTCCTAATTAGTCTATAAAATTTTAGGGTGTGATCCTCATATGTTTTTAAGACAAAAGTTTATATGAACATGGGGTCTAAATAAATAGGGTAGGTACTTTCTTGCTGATGTACACCGTGTCAAAAATTTAAAAAAATTGAATTTCTTGCTTAAAATAAATAGCACGCCACTGCCTTTTTTCGAAAAAAACATGTTTTTTTTGATTTTTAGTACCATTTAAACAAAATTGATTAAAAATAACTATTTTATTTTGTAGATTTTGTTGCAGTGGCGAAATACCCATATAGGATTTTTTGGAGAAAATTGATCTCGTGTTTTTCTTGTACATTGAAACATTGAAAAATTAAATCAACTACATAGGTACAGAGCCCGGCAATAGTGCGGCGGATATCTGTAGCTTCTATATAATAACAAACTTAGGAATTCTGAATAAGTGCAAACTTAAAGTATGTATTAGAATATATTTCAGGAAAATATTTTAACTCCTATAGGGCGGCTCAAAAAATGTGAGTGGATCGGGACGATGTTTGGATTCCTTTCAGATCACTGTACATAATCCTAAGAAATGAGTAAATATATTTCGATAGTTTCAGAGATAAGTATTAATAAATAAATAAAAAATATATATTTTTCAGCCTTTCTTAAAGAAAAATATTAAAAATACAAGAACTGTCCTGAAATCCAAACTATATTAGATACCTATTTACTTTAGATGGCCTGTATATATATATATATATATATATATATATATATATATATATATATATATATATATAGGTACTTACTTTGCTATAAATATGGTAATCGTAAATCATACAGAATGTTCAAAATTCTGCCAAACTTTCTAAAATATAAAATAATTTTTTCTTCGTTTTTTAACACCCTGTATATTATTTTTTCAATCTATGTATGATTAAAAAAAAGTTTGAAAACATTTTTTGTATATAAAGTATTTTGACAAAAATTTTAACAGTTTTGCAGATATTCGCGGTTTTATATTTCATACGGCATTTTCCACAGTAAATTTTTATCAAAGACACCCAATGATTTTTCTCTTGTATTTTACCGTTGAAAGAGCCATATGAAATATTACTGCATATATCTGCGAAACCATTAAACATTCTGAAATACAAAAAATGTTCATTTTTTAAGTCTCCATCTAATAAAAAATAATATACAGAATGTTCCATCTAAAAAATCGAAGGAAAATTATTTTATATTTTAGAAAGTTTGGCATAGAATTTTGAACATCCATTTACGATTACCATATTTATAGCAAATTAAGTACAGACCATCCAAAGTAAATATCTAATATACTTTTGATTTCAGGACAGTTCTTGTATTTTTAATATTTTTTTTTAAGGAAGGCTGAAAAATATAATTTTTATATTTATTTATTGATATCTCTGAAACTATCGAAATATATTTACTCATATCTTAGGATTATGTAAAGTGATCTGAAAGAAAACCAAAAATATAATAATATACAGAGTGTTCAATCTAAAAAATATCATCCCGATCCACTCACTATTTTATGAGCCACCCTATAGAAGTTAAAATATTTTCCTGAAATACATCCTAGTACATACTTTAAACAAAATTCCCAAGTTTTTTATTCCAGGAGCTACAGATGCCCGACGTACCCTATACATAATCTGTATATCTCAAAATCGCTAGAAAACGAGCATACACAACACAAAGTGGGCTTTTAGTTGATGTTTTTTTCTCGAAAACTGTTCGATGTACAAGAAGAACTCAAGAGATCAATTTTGTTTAAAAACTAGTCATTTTAATCAAATAAATAAAACCTAACCAATCCAAAATCAATATCAAATAACCCAGGGGTGCGTGCCACTGGTTCAAACAGAAAAACAACAGTTAATGGGAAAAACTTTTATACGGTATAATCGAAAAAATACGGTATCATAAGTTGGATTGGAAATAAACATCAATGCATATAATTTGACTTATAAATTTGACCCCATATAATTAATAATTTGACTCAATATAATTTTGACTTATAAAATGACAGCGATCTTCATTTCATCGTTGACGCCTTTTTTCGATCATATTGTAACTAGACACCGCGCACGCCAAATATATGAAAATATCCAAAGGAGTTTCCGACATATTGCAAGAAATTCGAAATTTTTAAATTTGGTCACCCTGTAGATTAGAAAGAAAGTACTTTACGTACATGTTCGTATAAACTTTTTTCTTAAAAACATACACGGAATCATATACTAAAATTTTTAGACTACCTAGAGGCTAGGAGACACCCGGTTAATTTAAAAAAAATATTAAGTTTATTGGGTTATTTTTAGTTACTATGTAATTTTTAAGAGCGACCAGAATCAGTGGCAATGACCGAAAGTTGCGGGGTAGCCAAAAATTTGTAGTTACGCCACTGAAAGCAACGTTAATGAAATAAATAACTTTTTGAAGATATTCATTTAGTTAATTAAGAACTTATTTTTTATTTATAGTTATTCATACTACCAACACTATCTGTATGAAAATAATGTCGATAACTTTTATTTTTAATCGATTTTTTGGCTTGTGTACGACCGAAAAAATAACGTTGTCAGAATTGGGTTGGAAATTAAGATCCCTTATTTAATATGTAAAATTTTATAGTGAATATTATCGATAGTCGTTTCCAAGCCAATTTGACGCCGTTCTATCATACGGCATTTATCACAATAAATCGACGTATCGTATATAAATAAAGTCGATGCTTTAAAAAGTATTAGAGCGTTAGTGGGTATTTTTTAAGAGCCCAAACCAGAATTCGAATTCTATTTTTGCCCGCCCCCGGCTCGCGGACCCGAAATAATCAACCGTTTGGGGCCATGAGGCGGCCGCCATCGCTCGCCTTATTCAGACTAGAAAGTGACGAATACGATTAAGAACATTAAGAAAACTCGCGGCTCTCGGACTGTCCATATAAGTATAAGATTTAGCAGACGTGGGAGAAGCTGCCGAACAAGCCATCGCTGACGTTATGCAGCAGCGTTTAACCGGCGAAGTATAACCTGTTCGCCCAGCCTAACGTTACAAGCTATAATAACATTATTTTATTACGACCACGACTGCTGAACCGATCGCACGCGCCGCGCTTTATTTTTTTACTTTTCTGTTTGTTTTGTGTCAAACTCTCTACATTCTACCTTTTTCATTTATAGTGACTAACGCGAGTGCCTTTTCCAACGATGACTGTGAACAAAAACACCAAGACATCCAGCAAAAAGAAAAGCACTGCCACCAGCAGTAGCACCACCAGCACAAACGCCGTGCAACAGAAGTCTTCCAAAAGCTCCAAAGTAGTGTCTTCCTCCAGTAAATCTACCGCGGGAGAAGCCTTATCAAAATCCTCGTCCGCTTCAAGCCTGAAAATATCAGACGTCTCACATCTGCCGATAAACGCTAACGTGGTATCCTACACAGTTACCGAAGTGCTTCCCACAGGTACAGGTGAGAAAATAACTATGTATGGTGAACAGGGCGCTACTTCCACAGAATACAGACATTTTGTTGCACAAGACACGTCAGCAGCTTCCACATCTCATTCCACATCCATCCAGCAAATCAGTTCGACCCTAAACGAATCCACCTCAAATTTATCATGTGCTTCAGGGTCCACATACACCGTCACAGAACCAAGGGAAGAATACAAACTGACCTACAACAAAAACGATTCGGGATGGAACGGAAAATTTGTTCTGGAGGAACCACAAAGCACAAAAAACAAAAAGACTGGTAGTAAACAAATCGTTAAAGATGGAGGGACGGTGGTGGAACAGAGTTCAACATCCACCTCGCATCAACAAAGCTCTTCCACAGCAAAAAGTTCCTCCAGTAGTTACGCCGTGGAGATTGTAGATGGAAAAGAAAAAATTATCGATCAAAAACACCACGAATCTGCGCACGGGCAGTCGTCGAGCAACGACGAATATTTAGCTTCAAAATCAGGCACCAACATCACTCCAGAGGTTCACTACAAACAACAGGCTAAAGAAAGCTCAACCAGGTATGATACCGCAGTGCCTGAACTAAGACAACCTAAGGGTCATACAACGGAATCTGTGAGGGAGGTCCATCAAGTAGGGGACAACGTCTCTTCTTCTCAGAGTCAGGTACGTGATAATGTGCCAATGCAAATTAGCCATGACAGTAAAAATACTTTAAGAGATAAAACAAAAGATTTTATTACTAGCGAGAAAATAGATACTAATATTAATAGCAGCAGAACTCTAGCGGATAGTAATATTAGTAACAAAACCAGCAAAAAAGCATCGACATCATCGACAAGACATAGTAAAAGTGAGAATTTAGTTGATAATAGTACAAGTTCCATAAATAAAACATCTAAACAGAGCAAAAGCGAAAACGTTGCTACATCAAAAAACTTAGGTCAAACTGAAACCATCACCACTACCTATACTTACTACGATTCAAAAGGAAACGTCATCAAAACAGAAACAGATGTGGATACTCATAACATTCCCGGATCCTTAACTTCAGAACGAAATGTTTCCAGTAACAATATCCAGAAAGACGACCATTCTGATCAGTCCAAAAGAACCACTTACTATGTGGATGAAAACCACGTGGATACAAACAAAATTCGATCAAGTCAAACTTCGACCGATTCAAAAAACTTCTACGGACACAGTGTCGATTCAAAAGGCACTGTGGTAAGTAACGTCTACGATTCTAAGGCTGTACAGAATACCATCGGAACTAAAGGGAAAGTCATCATCGACCAAACCAGCGAATCAAAGGATGTTGTTTATTCCAATGATAGGAATTATGGAAAGACTGGATGGAATGGGCAGTTTACGTACGAAAAACCTCAAGAAGGTCCGAGACAGTCCCCCTCCCCTGTTCGGAAAACGACAGGCCCAGGTGAATCAAGTCCGCAAGGCAGAAAGCCTGGAGAGAGATCGCCAGTGAGAAAACCTGAAGAAACTGGTAGAAAACCTAAAGAAACTGGTAAAAAACCTCCGTCTGATCAGTCTCCTTCCAGGAAACCCAAGGACGAATCAAAAACGACCGTTTACGTCGACGAAAACTACGTGGATACTAGCAAGATCCGTAGGGCTCAAACCTCAACAGATTCCAAGAACTTTTATGGTCATACTGTTGACTCTAGGGATACGGTTGTGGAAAACGTCTATGACTCTAAAGCTACACAAAACACTATTGGAACTAGCGGAAAGGTTTTGCGTGATCATACAATAGATTCCAGCGACGTGGTTTATTCCTATGATCGAAATTATGGAAAAACTGGATGGAACGGAAAATTCACCTACGAACAACCTCAACAGCCTAAGAAACCTGAAGATCGGAAGTCACCAGAAAAGAAACCTACACGAACAGATTCTCCGTCAAGGAAAACAACTGATAAACGCCCTGAGAGTTCCCCAACAAGAAAATCTCCAAGCGAAAGGCCTGCAGCTGGTAAACCATCTGTAGATAAACCTAGACGTCCTGAAGGGTCTCCTTCTAGGAAAGGACCAAAAGGTCCTAAGGACACAAAAGATTTTTTATCCACAGAAATAACGGAGAATATCAACCAGTTCACAGACGTAGTAAATGTTAGTGATGTAACTGACTCCAAAACAACCATTAGCAGGGATTCCAAAACTTTCATTGATAATAAGTTTGTTAGTACATCGGACAGTACAATTGTAAGCGAGAATTACGTAATTATCGACGGACAGAAAGTGCCTAAAGGTAAAACAACTGCATCTGGACCGAAGCAGCCAGAGACTGACTCCAAAACTGTAGTAGAAAGTTTTGAATCCGTTACAAAATCCTCCGACTGCAAGACCTCTGTTACGAAAGATGCTCAAACGTTTGAGGATAAACAAAGTTCCTTTGAACACTATACCACTCACGATTCCTGGGATAGTTCTAAAGGACCAAAAAAGCCTATAGAATCCAAACCTAAAGGTCCCAAAACGCCCAAGGATACGACAAATGTAGTAGAAATAATATCAGATGTCAGTTCGATAACTGATAACAAATTCATTGATACAAAATCGTCTGTGACCGAGGCTGTTCATGTATCGACATCTTTGGACCAGAAAATCACCAGCGAGAATGTTTCGAAGACTGATGTACGGTATGACACGAAAATAGACAAAAAATTCACAGATGTGAAGACTGTAGATTCGGTGGATCATGTGAACAAGACCTTTATTCAGGAAAACATCCTCGACATAAAAGATATTGTAAGTAAAACGAAAATAATTTTACTCTAGGGCACTTTATTAATAATATTATGTTTTTCTTCAGAACGAGGTGGAAAATATTACCAACATAAAGAAAACAACCGACAATAAGGTGATAAACATCGTGAAAACCATCAAAGAAAAGCCGGAGCCTGCAAAACTGAAGGTTCCATTAAAGGAGCAGTGTATATGTGAATTATGTACTTGCGGGTAAGTTTATTTATATCTTTTAAATTCTTAATATTATGTATATTCTACAAAACGACCGAAAAAAACGGCGTCAGAGATGGCTTCGAAATGAAGATCGCTGTCATTTTATATGTAAAATTGTATGGGAAATGACGCCGTTTTTTCCCCATCACACGGTATTTATTTTGCAACATAAAAAAGACGCGATATATGGTAGGTTTATTTGATTTGTTAAATATCTTATTAAAGACCTTGTAGAAATAAATTTACACGAAGAAAAATAATTCTTAAAGTACGTATCTATATTAGCTCCAATATTTTTTTTAAAAAATAAGACCATTGAATTTGTAAAAAATCTTCAATATAATTTTATATATACCATAAGATTGAAAAAATGGCGTCATAGTAGCTTTAGTCTGAGACATTAAAAAACGGCCTGAAGGAAATTATCAGTGAATGTAAATAATAACAATAAAATTTCTATTTTTGAAATTTTTATCATATAGTTCAGAGTATCCAAATATATTGAACACTGATATACAGGGTGTTTCAAAGAACATGTGCCATCTCTCGTGATTCCTCACGTAAAAATAAGATTTCTTTTTTATATCAACATAGATCCGATTCTGCTTTGTTTTGTAGCTACGGGGTGTTAAAGCCTTAATTTCTTTGGATTTATTATAATTTTCTTCCAAGTGCTCTTAGCTATTCGAATTAAAATTTGAGGGTAAAAATTATTATAAGTGCGACATATTTTAAAAAAGTGTCGACACATTCACCAGGGACGTGCATATGGGTTATCACTGGAATATTTTTATAAAAAAAAATCATGTGCGCCACTGACTTTTATTTCGCTTGTTGGCAAAATTGTGTAGATTGTTTAATGCTGATTAAAAGTTGTCTCTTGATATTTAGTCGATTTCGATCTCCTTGATTTTGGTTTGGTTTGGTTTGGAGATAAATAAGAGAGAGAAAAAAATGAGATATATTTTTTTTGATATCATTCATTAGCCAAGGGATAAATAGATACTCATTGATTCGTAATTCCTCATCAAAAAATATGAAAAAAGTTCCTATAAACATGGGAACGGAAATGAATAGTTTTGAGGCAAGACAACAGATCTTAAAGCTTTTTTTAAAAAAAATTGGTCTTTTGTAATTATCTTAAATATCATTATTTTTTATTGAAATTTGTAGCACTAAACATCAGTGTTATAAATTTTAATAACGTTTAATAATAAATTAGATTAAATAAATAATTTATTAATCTTATTTTTATTTTAATTTTATTAATTATTGTAATTAATAAAATTGCATCTCAGCAAGGCGATCGAAATCGAGAATTCTCTCAAGATACAATTTTTAATCGGCATTAAACGGTTTAAGCAATTTTGTTAACAAGCGAAATAAAAGTCAGTGGCGCACATGCTTTTTTCAGAAAAATATTCCAGTGATAACCCATATGCACGTCCCTGGTGAATATGTCGACACTTTTTAGCATTAAAGTATGTCGAATTTATAGTAACTTTTAAGCCTGGATCTCATTAGGCCACCCACCACGCGACGCCACGCTGTTCCACGTGAGCCCACGTGTTGCGACGTGGGAAAGATTGTACACATGAGATCTGGAGCAGACGAATTGTCCATCACACGTGTGATAGCGTGCGATGGCGTGACGTGGGGTGGCATGTTGCCTAATGTGTACGCAATACATGTAATTAATCTAAAAACATACGCACATATCTTCATGACGTGGGGTAGCATGGCGTGGCGTGGCGTATTGGCTAAGGGAGTCCCGGTATTTTTCTCAAATTGTCATTCGAATCGCCAAAGGCACTTGGAAGAAAATTATAATAAATCAAAAAAATAAGACTTTAACTCACTGTAACTACGAAACAAAGCAGAATCGGACATGGAAAATGCTTCGTTTTGGAGATACAGGGTGTTTGGAGATACGGGTGATAAGAGTTTCATTTTTATTTCGATTTTTTCAAAATAATTTCTGAGCTAAGGCCGATATTTAGATGAAAATTGGTATCCGGGTGTTTTTTGACATGAGAAATTCGATTTTGATCAGTATGACTCTTATATGTAGGGGGCACCCCTACATATTTTTAGCTGTTTTGAAGAGTAATAACTTTTCGTCCGTACCTAAATTACACTATGTGTGAAAAAATATACATTTCCGTCATTTTTTACGTAAAAAAATATCTCTTTGCAAATATCACTACGAGTAATGTTCTCAAGATATTTGGAATCAAAATAGTGAATTCCTGTCATAATTGGCAAAAAATATGCATGTTGACTCGATAGTTACTAGTCTGAAATAATAAAGGAAATAATAAATTTGAAATATTTTTGTGTCAAAGATTTAACAGAAACTGTTTTATAGTATTTTTTCTAGAAAAAATCATGATTAGCTTAAAAAAATAAAAAGTTCCCAAATTTATAATTTCTAGTAAATCTAGTCAACATATTATATTATGTATTTTTTTGTCATTGATGATATGTATTGACTATTTTCATTCCAAATATCTTGAAAACGGTTGCTCGTAGCGATTTAGACATTATTTTCCTTAAAGGAATACGGAAATATATATTTTTTTCGCTCAGTAGTTTTATACAGGTACGGACGAAAAGTTATTGCTCTTAATACTCTTCAAATTAGTTAAAAAAAATGTAGGTGGTGCCCCATATAAGTAGACACATCGAAATAAAATTTCGCATGTCAAGAACTCACCAATTTTCCTCCATATATCGACATTAGTTTAGAAATTATTCGGAAAAAAACAAAATAAAAATGAACCTTCTACACCCTGTATCCCCGCAGCGAAGCATTTTAAGCCATAAATTTATATGAACTTTTTACTTATTTTATCTACAGAATTTACTTATTTTATCTACAGAATTACTTATTTTATCTACGGATCACCCTATAGATCAGTTTTTTCCTACGATCCGAGATATCCCTAGACCAAAGCACCCACGAGTTTAGAGCTCCCCTCCCCCCAATTAACCTTTCTGTCAGATATCTTTAAATATAACTATAACTAACTCAATTTGCCTGAGACAAATTTTAAAATAAATAAATTATGTTTTTGATTCGCCATTATCTTAGGCCATTATCAAATATCAAATATTTTGATTTTTATGAGCATTGTCTATTTTAAATTATATAACCACATACATATATATTTATCATTAGCATATCTCTCTAATTAGATCAAGCGAATCATTTTCAAGTTGTTCATTTTATAAATAGATATTACTAATAAACCAAAGGACCAGTGTACGGAAATAGATAATTAATACTAGACAAACCGAGAAACACCTTGTATGTTTGTAAACTTTAAAACTAGCACGAGTTGATTCCGAAAGTATAAAATGTAAAAAAAACAATACACGGTAGGTGACATCATCGACAAGAATACACACCTATTTGCCAATTTAGTGGAATGGCTATAACCAACGGTTGTAAAAGGTATTCACCAATCAGGCTCCATCAAGAACAGTTTTTAATGGGCATTCGGATTTCTTTTGAAATACAGAGTGACTCACGAAGATGCCGCGTTGGTGATATGTAATATATTATGTATAGAGTGACTAAAATAAATACAATAAATGCAATCATTGCAATCCCTATAAATAGTAAATTAATTATTTTTGTACTTATACTGTGTTCTTCCAATTTTTAATAAATTTAATATTTTATTTTTAAGAACTATTATTATTAACATTTTGAGAAAAATGCATTCTTCATAAAAAAAAATTGCTTGTTCTGAAATGGTTAATTCCGTTTATACTTTTCCCAATTTCCATATCGTTTTAGAGAAAATTAAAAAAACACATGAAAATATAGTTGAATTTTTTATTACATTCTTTGATAGATGGTTGTTAATTTTGATTAACCATATACAAACTACGTTATATTTATTGCTGTTGTTAAAGTATCATATTTTCCGATAACTATTATCACCTTTTCCGCAACATTGAACTATATTATATTGTCTTATTAGGAGTAAAATTATATTTTTGCGAGGCTGTCCGTTTGACAGACAGGAGAGGTACAAACAAATAATTTTTACTCCGGATCAGTGGCGGATACAAAGGGCATCCCATGAGGTCCGCCCCCCCCCCTAAGATCTATAAATAGGGTTAAATATTAGCTTTTTGGGTTAAAAATGGTGCCCTAAAAATCATATTCTACAATACTTTTTATTTGGTTCCCCCCTAAAAGAAATTTCTATATCCGCCTTTAAACGTAACAAATAATTTTTTAAATAATTTTAAACATTCCAAATAATATAAAAAGAAAAGTCTTCTAGTAATTATGTATCGGGAAACTATGGTTATGCTTGTTGAATTTGACACTTTATGTCAATTTAATATTTCTGACACAAAATTTAATGTATTTTCGTACTTTTATGCTTAGACCATGCTTAGACGTAAAAGTGCTTTACTGTTATGCCTAGACGATAAAATGACTTTTTTATATTGTCAATCACGTCGCAAAAACTAATACATTTGTGACGTTTGAAATAAAATTTGTGCTTGGGTAAAATTTTAAAACAGCAAAAAATATGACGTTAAATATAATTCTGTTAATAACAATCTATCAAAGAATGAAAACGAAAATTCCATTAGCATAGGAAAGCATTTTGATTTTTTAGGTCTTCTATATGAAAACTATATTTTCAGTTTTTTTTTTTATTTTCTCTAAAACGGTATGAAAATTGGGAAATGTATAAACGGGATTCATCATTTTAGAACAAGCGAAAATTTTTATAAAGAATGCATTTTTCTCAAAATGTCAATACTAAAAAATCTTGTAAAGACAATCCAGGGACATACACTGTATAGGTGAAAAGTATAAGTTGTCCATAATTCTATTTAATCATTATTTTTAATAAACGATGACAACACAGTAAAATATAAGAACAAATTTAAACTAATTCTCAATTGTTTATTTATAAATATGTTTATAAACTGTTAGTCAGGTTCAAAACTGTTAACCCTCTAAG